CAGTGTGCCTTGCAGGCTTGCAGTAAAGAAGGAGGCTAAACCCTGAAACCCTACAATACCCTAAAGCCCTAAACCCTAAAACCCCCAGAGCCTAAAACCCTAAACCCTAAAACTCTACAAAAGGGTAGGGGAACAGAGGCTTGGGGGCTGAGACCTGAAGATTTCCAACATAGGAGGGCAACATGGGAAGATGAAAGGCTTCAGGTTGAAACAATGCGACTTCCTGAGGGTTTAGGGTTTGGGCCGTTTTCGGCTCAAGAGATTCCAGGTCTGGGTTGTGAGGCTTCGGGCTTCGAAGCCTTGGGCTCCAGAGTTGACTGCGGGGGGGCCGAAGACTAACGCATGCAAAAGCTCAGCTGCGTTAGAACCTACTTTCAGGGGCTCCCGTACTACCCCCTATACAACCTGCCCAGAATTCCCTCTCAACTGTCCTTAAACTACCCTAGTCCAGGAGGATCTTTGGGGGGGTAATGAAGTGGAGCAGAATATGATGATATGATATTATCTGTGAGACTGTGAGCCACAGCGAGACCAGTGTTCTGGGTCCTGGTTTGGGCTTCAAGACTAGGGATATACGACGATAGTGGAGAATCAGATGGGAAATAATATGGAAAATAGCATGGAAACTCGATTGATGTATGGGGCTTCTATGCTCTTGGTAAGTTCTATCTGCTTAGAGCTGGAGCTGTTGTTTGTCCCTGCTTGCATACACTGAGCCTGAAACCTGCTTCAGCATCGTTAAGTTGTTGCATGGGTTTGTGCTTGTGGCTTCGTTTCCTACAGCATAAACCGCAACCATCTGTAATCCCACATTCCACACCGAGGCATCAAAACCACACCTACAGTGCCAGAAATGGTGTAAGTTTCCCTTAGCAACACCCGTACACACACGACACTATCATACGGAAATGACCCCACTTCCTGGGCCCTTGGCACAGGAAGATGCTGGGCAATGCCTGTAAGGATGACAGTCCTCCACCAGCCAGCCCGAGAGCTTCCAAAGACATTGAAACTTGGTTCCCGATAGATTTAGGGTCTCCGAGGCGCAAGAGCTTTGGAATCCCTTGGAACAGACGATTATACAACAGCAGGTATTGTTTGAGGGAGCGGGGTTCTTTTGGGAGCTGACCGCCATCGGGGAAGTGAAGAGTCAGTCATTCGAGATGGGGCTCCACAATCTGCGTGATGGAACTATGTCTGTTGCTGCTCCATCCATCTCAGTAGTTGCTGCCTCTCTCGGCACTACCATAACCACACACCTTTTGCAGCTGGAATCGCATGGTTGCACTTCTGCACGCTGGAGTGTTGCAGACGTGTGCGCAGCAGTGTTGTCACACGAAACATTTACGTGCACGTAGCGAAGTTCCACTGTCCGGAAATGAGGCATGACTGCCCTTGAGAAAATCACATTCCAATCATGATATTTTTGAGACATCCCGATCCTCTAAGATTGGTTCGAACAGGACTTCCTCCAAGGCCGAGCGAAAGATCAAAAGCAGAGACCCGACCCAAATCCTAACGTTGCAAATCACGCACAAAAGAATCTGATGGACTTAGGCTCGCGCAAGGCCAAGAACCAGTGTAACCGCCTAACCCTAAAACATGCAGCCAAAGCCCCAAGAAAGCACGTGAGTGTCCTGTTCTGCGGCGGGTGGTCGTTATCCTTCCGCTGCGTGGGGACCTCACCCGGTCGCCTTGGGGTTGCTACTGCTGTGAAGAGAAGGAATGCGATGATGGGATGCACGGAAAATCAAGTGTCTCTAAAGTCAGTCTCCACGCTTTGAGCCTCTATGGAATTGATGCATGTCACACTTGAGGCAGCTGAATCTGCACCTCATCCACTGCAACTCTCAGCACCCAAGTTGGTAGCCTGCATGCAACAATCTAGGCAGAGATCAGGGAGCCCGATTTTCAGGGCATTGAAGCGACTTGCCCATCCTTCCCTTAAACAGCCTTCGACGATTTTCTGCATCCTTCCACAATACTTCTTCACAGTAACCTACCGAGCATGGTACTCTTATGTCCTATAACGAAGCCAATTGAATGCTTCTGAAGAAAAGAAGTCCAAATGGCCTGGCTTGGATGGCATGGCTGTTGGATCGCCTCGTTCCGACCTCGGTGACCGCTCTACCATCGGCAAGGGTGCGAAACATAGCAGCTTAAATGCTCCAGCTTTGTTCTACCCTAAATGCCTAAGTAGCAGTTTCCATTTTATTTTCCATCATCCCAATATAACCCCACTATAGCCCGTATATACCCCCCTACCCCTACAGGTAGCTGCAGAGCTGCTTTATGTTGCTACGCTAAACTTATGCATGAGCATCACAATCATCAGGGCTCTCAGATTAAAGGGTTTCAGGCTTGCAAGGGCCGAAGCTTCAAAGGACAAAGGCTTTTCAGATGCAGCCAAGTACCTCAAAGTGAGGGGAGTTGTCCCAAAGCTTGGGAAAATTCGCTTCCGCCGGGTTCAAACAACAGTTTTTATGGGTTCACCGCCTTCGGCCTGCTGTGCAAATGTCACGGGAACCCTGAAGAAGCCAATCCGCAGACCCACCAAGAAAGAATTAGGATACAGCTGGGAGGAAACACACACCAAACCCTTGAAAGACTACGAGAGGAGTCACTCGTCCTCGACATCGGCAACCCGTGGCTTTCGCCCGAAATCCAAGAATGCAGCCCCTCCTGGAAAGTCTGGAACCTACTTACTACTCCGTGATGCCAGAGATCTCATACCCTCAGCTATCTTGATGCTCACTGCCTTCTACCCTCCACTAACATGCTCCCGAAGCCGCCAACCCTCCAAATCGCATGATGACAAACCCCGGCATGATGAACGAGACTGCCCGAAGGCCGCTGCAGTGTCGTACGAGACCTGTGAAGAAGCGTCCGTGTCGGCCTGACTCTCACATAGCCCTCACAAATACCGAGGCGCATGGCTAAACAAATAATTATGAATACCGCGTGAGAAGGAGAATGACTCCAAGAACAGGTAACTGCTAATCATCGGGGTAGCTCCTCTTTCTTCCGCACACTCTGCGTTTCATGGCATCGCAGATCCCGATCGCAGTCTAATGGGTCCAAAATGATGGGAGTGTCTGGGCCCTACCACAGCGAGGCACAAGCCAACTTCTCCTGAAGCGGCAAACTAAAACATATCAGACAAATATTTACAAACATGCAAAGACTAAGGGTGGCTGCATGAACAGTCGTAGTCTTGAGCGGTGCGGTCACACTAACTCAATCTATGACACGATGTCCAACGGGCGTGCCAGTGGCTGCGCCGGCATATCAGCCATCCACAACTACTACAACAATAGCGAAAACTACAACAGCCACCAGCATCATGCTTCCCTCCATTAACGTTACGAGCATCATAACTGGATCACAAAACATGCTGTCCTTACTGCTCGGCAAGCCTGCTGGGGTCTCTATGTCTCTCTCGCGGTTGCCTTGTATCGCAGGCGGCGCCAGTCGACAGGTGGCGGCAAGGGTGGCCATTCCTTTTCCAGCGGAGGGCTCCAGGGATCAGTCCAGCGTTTGAGTCCCAATGTAAGACCGTGACAGAGGGCATCTATGCATGGCTTACAGTCTTGCAGCTCAGAAGGCTTTGCGTGGAACCTGTTATGAGGAGAGATCTGCTACACAGGTTCTGTGGTTGTTCCAAGCGTATCGGTATGAGACTTTAATGCCTACAAGAGCCGCGTGCTTGCGCCAAGCTGCAGTTTGCAGAACGCGGCCTCGAATGGACATGGTCTGTGCCTGAGTTGGCACCAGAATACGCTTTCCAAGCCATGAAGTTGAGCTGCTGGCTTCGGCTTGCATACGTATATCCATGGTTCAGAGATCCAGGGCGAGAAGAGTATACAGTCAGGAGATAAATGAACTGTGCAGATCATCACTGTTAACATGGCATTTCGTGTCCTCCCCACGATCACGAGTTTCAGCTGGCATCACTATTATTTGCTCACACCCTGCCCTATTCGGTCCAGGGCCCCAAGCACTGGTCCAGTTCGGCGGCTGTCGAATATCCACAAGCCACTTGGCGTCCTGGGTCGGGTTGCCGATCAACAACAAGTGCTACCATTGCAAACACCAATCTTAAGTTAGCCATGCGATCTGTGCTGAGGGGGCAAGCCAGCACAGACAGCCAAACTCGTAGCTGCCTGTGTATGTCAAGATTGAAGCCGTCTGTTACACTGTTAAGCCAGCCACCCGCGGACTCTCGAAGATGACCGTGGCCTGCGACAGAAGCTACCAAATAAGGCTTAACGGGCTCCTTTTTCTAGTCAAGCGGCCTCACTAGAACGAATGGACCACAGGGCTGCCAAGGGTCCCGGCCCGAGCCTATAAGAATAAGAAAACATGACCCCCACACCTGGCCTCCGTCCCTGTGGCCCGAGCCAAGGAGCTAGCGACCTTTGGCGGCAGTCTGGAGCTTGCACGGTGCTACGTAAAACCTTTGCAGGGTCATGTTGACCAAGGATGCATGTTCAGCTTCTCCGTGGGCTCCGAAATTGCTTGCATGGGCCAGAGGCTCTCAAACTATGTCGTCTCCCTGACGATGAGCGGACGCGTGGATACCCGTGACCATGCGAAACAGCGCGCAAAAGTTGAGGAGCTTTCTGGCTTGGACTTTTGATCTTTGAGCTGCCTTGTTTGACAAAAAGGAGGGCAGGTTGAGATTCCGTTTGCGCAGGTTGGACTTTAACCAGACGTGCTTGACCTCCTCCTCGAACAGAAGCACAAAGCTGCTCTACAAACGTACAGCCCTAGCTTTTCTTCTTGCTTGCTCAGAACGCTTTAGCTGATATGTGGTTCGCACGGAACGATGGTTAGCTGCAGACGGCCAAAACCCCAGATCAGATATATGAATCTCCGCTAGTCCCCGACCTGCCCACTCCGTACTATGCCCCAAACCCCTCAACAATCCTCCTCTCTACGCCCAAACCTTGAAATGCACACACCCACACACCCCACCAACACCACCCTCTCACCGCCCCTTATCCACCCAGCGCTCTTTCTAGGTGCTGGGCGGATTCGTCCTGATGCTCCGCAATGCTGATCGACTCGACCGCTGGCTCTGGGCCTATCTGTCTGAAGGTATGAGAGACTTTTTGTAAGCTGTCTGCATCCACAGGCGCTTCAGGGGTGTTGCCGTATACAGAATGTTTAGATAGACATCAGCAAATAACCATGGCATTGATACTATGGCTTGAATTCCTATGGGTCTTATATCGAGACATAGAACTAGAACTTGAAACGTGGGCTTAGGGGCGTGGGTCTTTGATCACGTAGTTTCGGTGTCCTGATTGTCCCAAGTGTTAGGCTGGCGCTAGGTGCACCCGCGCTCTACAAGTAACCGCCCCCACTCTTCAAGTATCAGAGCGGAACATCTGCACCCTAGCCATTGAATGTGCAGGGGCTTCCCCAAAACTAGTAAATTGTTTGACATAACTCACCCATGGTGAAGGTCCTATTCCTTGGGGCTGACGAGTCCCAAATGGTGACATCAGAATCCGAATCCTCATGTGCCCCCAAGGTTTCCAAGGGCCACCCCATTTTGTGAATTTTAGGAAAACCCACACCCTAAATCCTAAGCCCTGGACTGTAAACTCTAAACCGCTAACCCTGAACCCCTAACCCTAAACTCCTGAGATGGGATAAACATAGCATTTCCTTAGGGTCCCAACTCTCATTTCCCGAAGTCCAAAAAAATTCCAAAGCACCCGCCCCCCCACAAACCCGAAGTAGCTGCACAAAGGCAATTTTGGAGAAACTTCCACACTAAGGCAGGGACTGCTCAGCGCCGCCTTCCACAAACGCTTCAGCTCCCTCAAGATGTCTTCCTGGGAAGCACTGAGGTTTGGGGTCTGGTCTTTTGGATTTAGCCCTTACAGGAAAACCTCAACCTAACCTAAATCGTAAGCTTGGATTGCCAAATCTTTCCTCAAAAACCCCAGCCTTCTGGAGCATAGGCCTCTTGACCATCCACACCAGGTCACCAGGTATGCGGGCCACAAAACCCTAAACTCTAAACCCTAAACCCCACTCTAATGGCTTTAGGCTATCACCAGGTTATGGCTTGACCTCCAGACCTGCGTCGGCGCAAGATCCATCTATCGATGGCAAGGGACTTTCGCATCAGAATAATGAAGCCGACTGAGGGAGCTGATGAGCTTGATCAGCATTTGTGCGCGTACAGTAACACTCTCTGCACGAGATGTGGTTGTAACCAAACTAAGTGGATTTAGGTGGCCTTAGCATTCTTAACAAAAACTGTAATGGCGCAATTGCAGCCGCAACATGAGAATATCCTTGCTAACCGCTTTTGTGTGCGACTTGGGCAGCAACCTTCAGTTCCTCTGCTGGCCGCAAGGGGAGGTTCCTGGCTCTGCAGCCATGAAAATCTTGGGCGCCTTCGGGGGGTTGTCTATATGGGGCTGTCTTGGGACCATATCGGCGCTGTTTAGGGGAGGGGGGGGCGTCGATTCCTTTTCTTGGTCCCGCGGGGTATGTAATGGAAGCCTTTTATGGGCAGTTGGAGGTTTGCAGAGGATTAACAAATTGGAGAGAACTACAAGTAGGTGAACTAGGCTTACTGTGCCAAGGATGAAGCTTCAAACATGTTCTCAGGACCTATAACCCTCCAAGAAAGCCCGTCCAAGCACTATTGGCAGGAGGTCGAGTGCCACCTTTGCACTGACATACACGGACTACGGCCGCCACGCCTACATGTTCCCAAAAGCAGCTTAGCATTGCTGCTCCGATCTTTTGGCTACATCTGCAGAGCTTATGATGCTTCCTATTCTGTGTTGCGTACCATTGCTCCTGATGGGGATTTGTTAGTGGTACCACTTTCACAGTCAGAAGGTGCAATGTTCAATGCAAACATGTGATTGGAAGCTGCAAGAATGCGTCCTGGGAAGTAACCTTGACAAGAAACACTGTCCCATGCGCTAGCAGATAAAGGCCGTGCGTTTCAGCCCAAAACCGTCTATCGCTGCATCGACCTCTGAAATCCGAGTTCTAGATCTTGACTACTGCCATCAAGTCTTTGTTACGCTTAAACTGCTTGGTACGCAAAGCTGCTGATAAAGATCCGGACGCCCTTCCTAGCTGGATCCCAACTCTCGAACCCTTAATATGGTACTTGGTATCCGTGTTTGGCAGAAATCGGGGAATCCCCCTTTCGGATTTTCAGAGTTGTGAGAAAGCGGGCCACAGCGGCCGAAGACGCACTTCCCTGCGGCCTGGACCAGGAACGGAGCCCAATACCCTTGAATTAAGGACTGTCCCCTATTCGGGCCATCTTGGACGCAGGGTTCAAGGAGTAGCAATGTAGGCTTAGGGCTAGAAATCGGACGTCACTTCGAGAGGTCTTGGCATGAACGGAACAAAGGCATAAAAGGGTTGGGGATAGATCTGAATAGAACTACTGGAGCAAGGAAGACGATGAAAGCACAGTAGGCCCCTACATCGGAACAAGTATTGATGTAGGGTTCAGCCTGCAACGTTAGGGGTGACACTTCAATTAGTTCTGGCTTTCGCAGAACTATGTTACGGTCCATTTCTTATCCCGAGTCATGGCGAAGACCGCTGGCCAAGAACCTTCTTCTTAAAACGCCGACAGTAGATATCCGCAGTTGGAACATGGAAACCAGATTGTTCTGCTCTGGCTGTCCCCTTGAGTGATGTTCCCACTTTTGGGCTATCCAGAAAAAGTTGCCAGGTGCTGCAAAAACTCTGTGCCTCTATGACAACATCAAACGGAAAGCAACTCAGGCGCTGCCCTGAACCGGGCCCAGACAAAAATTAGAGAGTTCTCTGTGAAGATCTTCCCCAAAAGACTATACCCACAGGCCGAAGAGAGAAATATCCTAACACGACACTCCTAACTTTCCCTTATCGCCTAAATTACCCACAAAGAGAGCCCTGTGTAAACCCCACATACCCAGTTCGCCTCCGAAACCATCAAATCCCCCCAGAAGCTTCTCTACATTCCTCCATTGTTGCTACATAATCCCGACACATCCCTGGAAATACTACTGCGGCGCACCGTCCGACTCCCCTGTCGACCAGGGGTCGCCGGCGCCAGGCTCCAGGCTCTCACCTGGAGTTCTGATCATTCTTGGGTTCAGGGTTTAGGGCTCCAGGACCCTGCAATGAGGATCCATCCGACTTACATGGGGCAGACGGAGAGTTGAAGAAGCGTGTTTCGTTAATGGCAACATGCGAGGCGAGAAGCGGGTCCCAATTCAGGGAGTCCCTTTTTTTCAATCTCCATGCGATGCAGCCCATACTCGGCAAAATTACCACTCAAGCCTGAAGTTTTGGCAGTGCCGCACCTTCATCCGATGCCTTTTCCAGCTATTCTCTAGCTCAGATGGCTACAGGAGGCTTTGCAAGGTCTCGATGCTGCTCGATTGGCTTGAGAGTCCCTTGTTTGCAGGGGCCTGCATGAGAAGGTTTTACGATTCGGTCGGTTACTTGAAAAGAAAGAAAATCTGAAATGAGGATCAAGCATGTGCATCCACAGCATGAAAAGCCCTGGCATGCAAGGCCTTCATGAAAGCTTCAGGTTTGATTGTTTCAAGCGTTGTGGGGACAGAGCAGAACGAAGGCACACAACCAAAAGGGATGATGGTGGTCTGGAAATAGAAGGGTGCAATTGGAGGCAAAACTAATCACATATGAGGATTAAATCTTGCGTCTAAAGTATGCTCGGGTGCAGGCTTTCATCTGCCCAGCTGGTGATGTGATCTGAGGGCATGGAAAGCGCGCCTGAGAGAGGCGCCACAAGGCAAGGCAAGGCAAGGCGACAGCACAGCGTCCCACACTGGGAATCTTCAGTGAAGGGGTGATTCTCAGAAGGTTATGCTTCCACGCCTGCGCCCCGGGGCTCCCGATTCGAATCCTCGCCCCCTGCGACCTCGGGCGGCGGCGCCTCTGGAGGCAACATGGTCTCTAAAGGTTTTGGGTCATGTCATGATCACACAAGGATTGTACGGGACTGTTTTGGGAATCTATCTGTCGCAGGCCACCAAGAGGAACACAATGGTGCCTAGTGCCAAGAATTTGGAAGTTTAACAAAAGCTGGAAATCAAGATTATTTTCTTTTATGATTCTGATACGGGTTCCTATACGACTCAGGGATACACATACAAATCTGATACACTCTGGATACAGGTATGGGTTCACATGGCAATACAAACCTTGGGCCCCAAATACAATCTCGATACACTTTGGAACACTTTCGGTACGAAAAAATCCAGATACGCGCGGCGACACGAACCCGAGTCGTATCCAAATCGTATCCGAATCGTATCCGCATCGTATCCAAATCGTATCCAAATCGTATCCAAATCGTATCCAAATCATATCCAATTCGTATCAAAGTCGTATTTTTTGGTACCCCGAATACGAGAACCTCGAATTTTGGCTGCCAGGAGTACGATTTGGATACGATTGGATACGATTTGGGCCCCCTCTGTAGTGGAGCTGTATCACAAAGGGTATCAAATGTGTATTGAAACTGTATCGAAACCTGTATTAGAACCCATGTTCGAACAAAACAAAACCACATCCAAATCATACCCGATAGTATTAAAACCGTAAAATGCAATCCTAAAGCGTATTGGTCGTTCATATCCAAACCGTATCAAAACCATATCGGGAAATTATTTGCCGAACCATCTCGTTTCTTAACTTAGTGGGTTTTGGGCCTAGTGAATTTGCCTGGATGAAAAGGGGTCCATGGCATCTTCAGGTGAACCGTGGGGAGCCTGGAGGCCCATGCCAAGTCCAGTCAGGAGAGGGCTGGAATGATAAGCAACAGCCTGTGGTCCATAAAAACCGTATGGCATTCAGAGGATTTGTGTGCATGCCAATGCGAAACGCCCAAGGCACTTTCATGATTGAGCTTGTCCTGCCGCACTGCTAATGCCGGGTTTACCAGATTTGTTCCTTCCTTTTAAACCAGACTGTGTGCTTGCGTCATGGCTCCGGACTTTGCAAATACCTAAATCAGAGCAGCAGATTGCCGCGTATCCATGCTGAATGCTTACATGTAACAGAATATTGACGATCAGGGATGTTTTTCCTTGTCTTCATCGTTTGGCGACAAGCAGCAATTAGCAGGGGGCCTCAGGGCTGTCATTTGACAAGGGTGTGGAAGCACCCAGACTTGGCAACACTCCTGCCCAAGCCCAAAACTGAAACTGACCAGATCTTAACACCCTCAACCCTACAAGTCCTGACCCCGGTCCAACCCTAAACCCTAAACCGTAAAGCCGCTGTGACCCCCTGAAGGCTCGTCCCCTGACCATGACTGTTCCGCCTCTGTTTTCTGCTCATGAGATCTCTGCCTGCCCTGGCGGAATTTGCAATAGTTTCCTTTTTTTTGCATTATCTGTGTATAGCCCCTATACGCTATAGTAGTTTCCACGTTCTTTTCTGCTATCCCTCTTTCCGCAGGACTTCAGCTTCGAGAAAATGAGTTCGAGTTAAGGGTCGGGATAGGGTTCCTTGACATGTGAGGGATTGGGTGGATCCGAAGCGGTTTGGTCACCTTGAACGGCGTAGTTCCAAAGGTCCTTTTTGGTAATTTTTCGCGAATTTACGTTGACCACCGCAGGTCACTTCAAACGTAAACGGTACGTACACGTCTAATATCAAGGTGACAATGGCGGATCAAGGTACAATAGCACTGTGATACAACGAGGGTTCACACCAACCTTTCCAATTTCATTCCAAGTACCACACATCCTGTAAAAGCTACAAGCCTCTGTAACTATCCAAATCTCAAGTCAAGATTTGTCAAAACAACCAGAGATATAGCCAAAGCTGAGAGAGTCGACGCCTAACTAGCACACACAACAGAAACCCGTCTAAATCATTTAAAATCGCCCATCGACTCTTGGCATCCCAACACGGGCTATAGCAAACTAAACGAAGGCCCAGCAAAAGAAGACTCTAAACAGAACATTTCCGCACTTGAGTTGCTTGGGTTGGAGCCTTACAGAGCCCTCGTCTCCGAAAAATTGCCTCGGTGACATACTCCTGGAACAACTATGCTTTTCGAAATTCCCTGGACCTATCATATCAGCCCAGGAACGCCGCAGCTTTGATAGCATTTGACTGGCTTAGGGTATCCGCATGCCGACCTACCATGCTTGTTGTACTACTTCCCAAGCTCCTTCGGCCCTTCAAGTATTCTCTCTGGAAAGAAACTGGTCATTACTCTATAACTGTTCTTTCTAGGCATCCTTCTGCCCTGTTACCCCCCCCCACCCAAGATACGCTGTGGTAGCACACCTAACTTTGTCTTTGGTGTCAGTCTCATGACCATGGAGATCAGTTCTGCACAGGAGTAGGTCCGTCACTTCTTGCAAAACACAACATCTGAGGACTGTGGACAAATTGGAGATATCCAGCCCCTTAAGCGTTCCAACGATTTTTGCTTGCATTCTGCACATTCCTAGGACCGTGACCTTGCCAACTTTTCAGCACAGCTAATCCTGCACGACAATATTGCAAACAGTGACCCACTGAGAATGGCAAAGGGTGACTCAGAGAACTCCCCTTCACCCCCGGCTGGCCCTTCACCCCGGCTGGTGGCCCCTTGCATGGCAGATACCCTTCAAGAGTATTTAAGAGTATTTGAAAGTATGGTTTCGGGTAATGAATTGTAAAGCCACCAGTTGGGAGTGAAGCGCAATTACCAATACATGCCACACTACATGGCCGTAGCTGGGCACCTGGCGGAACCGGTGACTTCCAGAAGCGGTCTACGCGTTTCCATCCCACAACGCCTCTCTCACTTCTTTCCGAACTTGGGGAAGAACAGCAGCTGCTGTCCTGAGGCACTTTTCGCAGCAGCGACACGCTTGGGTTTGGCACTCCTCGCCTCTTTGACGACTGTAGCAACCTGCTTCTGCTTGGCCGAGCTGTGCTGGTCTCTCACACGCTTAAGAATTTCAACTCTCTTCTGGCTTCCCGCACCTCTCCTCTCATGCGATGCCTGCATGCGCGTCTGTGTAGGCACAGGTAGGAAGCTGAAGCGAGAGAACCACGCAGGGAAGTCTGAGGCTGTGAATCTGGATCTGCTTGGCATAGTCCACATTGGCTGGCGCTTCGGGTCCACTGTATGTGCAACTGGCTGGGTCCTTGTTTGACCTCCTTGGAAGAGCATCCAGACATCGGTCAAGCCGAAGTTTTGCTCAGCTGCCTTGTCTCGCAGCTTCTCCCATGCCCGCTTGGCCCAGTCTTTCTCTTGAGGCAGCTGGTCCAGCTTCAAGAGGATACTAGCACTGCAGTGGATCTCGATGTTGTCCGCCAGCTCCTGTGGGGACATCGCAACCTGCTGAAAGGCAATCTGTGAGAGCACCTGGGTGCGGCGCTTCTCCACCAATCTCTGAAGGGACATTTCTTCCAGCCAAAAGTTTCAGAGGGCATCAGAAGGCTATACAACTCGAAAGACTCGGTGTCCTTACGCCAGTTGGTGATGCCCTGCACCCGCAAGTGTCTGTTTTTGTTGTGGAAGGCTACCTCGGCCTCCCGCGCCAACTGGCCTTGGACGCAGTAGTGGATGCTCAGAACCTTTTGTTTGCTCACGACTGCCTGTTTGTCGTCATGTAAGCTATTGTAGCGGCCACCTGTCATGCAAAGGTTGTCACTATTGGTTGCCGAGACAGTCGTTGCGCCGAGCTTCCAGTACTTGTTGCCTTCCAAGACCATTTCCAGGCACTGACAGAGCCTAATATTCGCGTTTGGGAAGTTCTGTGCACACCAGCACTTCACGTACTCGCAGCTGTATAGCAGGAAGTCTTCGGGCTGCAAGTGTCCAAGGCGCAAGCTGAAGACGTATTGCACACGCAGCTGGTGCGTGGACGTGTCGTCCCGCTCAGAGGCTGTCTTCTAGCATTTTATTTGTTTTGCTGTTACCAGGGTAGGGTAGAGCTTCTGTTTGTACTTCTGCAAGAGGAGCTCCCGAACCTCGAACTCACTGGGTTCGTGGGCTGTGTCCCAATGCATGTTCGTCGCCGCCTCGTGATCTACTCGGCCGCCGAACTGGGTTTCTAGTCAGCAACACAGCTCTCTGGAGACGAACGCCGAGTCAGGGCGTCTGTCAGGCAGGCGGCGTCTTCATCACTCATGTTCCTGAAGGATGATTCTAAAGACCTCATTCCATAAAAAATTTTAAAAAAATGAATTTAGTCAGCACTGTCCTGAAGACCTCGAAGCGGCTGTTCATCCGTCCAGCGGCTTGCATCAAAATCTGCGCCAGATGGTGAAGAACGCCTGGAGGCACTGGCACCAAGTTGAAGGTCTGAGACAGAAGGGTAACCAGGCTTGCCACTGACTGGGGCACTGGGCTGGCAATTGTCTCCGCTGTGCTGTTACAAATCTCTGGGGCAGGCTTAGAGCAGCTGCTGGAGGACTTCGAGCCTTGGGCTGTCAGCCTGGCCAGCGTGCTCAGGTGCCACCGTCTCTGTGCACTGGGAGGAAATTTCTTGAGCCCCTCAGGTGTGCACACTTCAGGGGTGTCTGGGTCTAGCCGCCGAGCTTTCCTGGGCGGCGTGCTGCAGAAGCCATCTGCCATGGTTGAGCCTACAGCTGAGCCACAACTACTTGGGCAGAGCTGCCTGCAGGTAGCACAAAAAATAGGTCAAGTGCTCGCAGGCCCAACAGTGTTGCGAAAAGCTTCTACCATTGCACACCAGGCCTCCGCGATGAGAATCCAAGCTCTTTGAGGAGGGACCTCAAGTTGCGCGTTGCTGGTGCTAACACAAACAACACAAATAGCTGTGCGACACAACGCCGTGCGGCAGCCCTTGTCTCGGAAGCTTTGGTACATCACACGGACTGCATCTTGAGTGAGCCGCTTGATGTCAACACCCCGCATACACAACGAGGCTTTCATGCCGGGTTCCTCCAGCATCTTCGTCACATGGCGTCGCATCTTCTCAACAGCGGGGGGGAGGAGCGCCGCCGCTCGCTGCACCTGCAAATCTTGAATGAAGATCTTAGCCACGGCAACTGTGGCCTCTTGAGCTCCACACTGGCTGGGTCCGTGACACTCACGATCGTAAAAGAACGGTGTGACCAGCCGAGCAATGACCTCCCCAGTGTCAAGCTGCGAAGTGTCATAGTAGTACTCAACTTCCTTCTTCTCACCGAGGTAGCGCTGAAAGAAGACATGGACGCAGTGTTTTGGAATTTGCGCGTCAAAGGTCAAACCTATTTCTCTCTCTAAAAACTCGGGCGCCGCTGTGAACCTCTTTTTTCTTTGGGGGTCAGCGCATCCAAGCTCCTGCCGGAACTTATGCCACATAATGGTGCAAGCGTGCTTTGCTAATGTGGCCTACTTCGCTTCTGTGGGGGCTCAGCACTCATATCGCCAGCCTGAATCCGACTTGACCTCTGTGAATGCCCGACCTCCCAGCTGCTGGACGCACTGGTGCCTTGCTGGGAACTGTCATACTCCAGCTCTTCCTTGACCTCTTCTGAAGCATACCCTTGCTTGCACCAAGCTGCATCCATACTGCTCAATGGGCACGTTAAGGAATCTGTGCAATCTTAAAGTCGAAATTTTCAAAAAGCCAGACCACAGATGTAGTATAACAGCCTGTGATCTCAGCTTGCATACATCCAAACAGACATGTCCAAGCACATGTTGCAGGAAGACAAATACTGCATAGATGTCAACGGATTGAATATAAGGTAGAAATTTCTTTTGATGTCGACAGTTCTGTCTTGATCCACAACAGCTTGTCAATTTTGCAATGGACTTGAAATATTCTTGCACATCTAAGCCTTTGGATTGGAGCTTGCAATTCACAAGCTATGTACAAGACGACACCCGACGCGACCACCCCCTGCTTTGCTCTTCTGCAAGAAAACAAAGACGTCCGCATCCGTGCCGGAATTCTAGATCGATACGCTTCCTTCTTTGCAATCTACTGATAAACGTGCGCAAAAATCGCAGCTGACTGCTAGCGATTCCTCCAAGCCCGCCCATTCAGTGGCCCCAAGATGTCCCAAGCCATCTGTCCGAGCCATGCTAACGCCATCAAGTTCTAAGTCTGGCCCCATCAGCTTGCAATGTAACCGATAAGGCGATTTTGTGTCCAGATTTGTGCAGATAGAAGACCTATTCAGGATTTTTCATGGATTTTTCCTCACAACTTCTCCTGAGTCCAAGAACAACTACCATAAAGTGACTTGATGGCTGCTATGTTTCTTTACATTTTTTGTCATCTTCACAAACCCGCACCACCCATGCCTGCCTTGGCTTGCTGCGAAGTACTGCGACCTGCACCCAAACGTGAGCTGATCTTTTCGATAGCAACAGCAGTGCAATGCTAGTAGGAAGCGTCAGGGACCCTGTAGAAAACCGACACACCCTACCCCCAAAGTCCCTCACAAGGGCATCCTTAGCAGCCTTGTCGGCAAAATGGCTACCAGACCGGGCCCTGAAACGCTTAACTCTGAACCTCTGACCCAAAAGGCTTAGGTTCAGAAGGGCGTGCTCCAAGTGAGAACCCCTCATAATCTTCCTGGTGCCTTCGGGCCTTCAGCCGTTTTACTTTCGAAGGACCCATCCACCCGAAATACTCCACAAAGCCCCCAATGTTCACACACCAAGCTTGTTGGGTGGGTGTGCGCCAATACATTACCCCGGCTTCATTCGTGAAAGGATTTGTTTGACTAAAGGATGATCATGTTCCAAAATGCCAAGATGTCGAAACACAAGGACGACTCCAGGACGACCACTGCTGTCCTAACAACCCCGAAGCTTTGAGACTCTGCTTTACCGTATGCCTGGGACGATTCATACTAAGCCCTCATCCCATCAGCCTCGACTTTCTCCAGCATCCCGCTCAGATTCGGCTTCCATCCTTACAGCTTCGTAAGGAACAAGTGCGCAAAGACCAACACAACTACTGTAAATTCCCAACGGCTCAAGTGTATATTAGTGCTGGACACTTCAAGTAAAGATCTGCAGAAACATGCTCGGGCCTCAATGCAAAGGCTCTACCTATCTTCAGAACCAAATGAAACGCTCGACTCCGTGAAAAAGAAACTTCAACAACCCTGAGCTTCAGAGTCCCACAACCCAAAATCTCCCCCTTGGCTGTAACACCCATCTCCAATCCCTACCTGCACACAAAACAAGATCAACCCACGAACAAATGGAACCTCCCAATCTTACCATAGGTTATCTGGTGCTGTTCACCACAACAGTACAAGGGCTCGGAGAAGAGGGCTGTAACCACAGTGTAAAACGATAGAAGCACAAAAAAGAAGAAAAAAAAAAAAAAACATCCCTAATGCCCTTACCCCACCCAACTGTTCAAATTCCCACCCACTTCTGGGAATCCGACTTATCCTCCAGGATGGACCGGAGAATGCTTGACCTTTCAGAGGACTGTGAGCAGAGCAGCTTTGGGGTTGAGGGCTACGGAGTGTTCAGGTGTTGGGCCCAGGTCTCAAGGACAGAAGGGCTTAGGGCTCAGTATCCCAGCGTCCTCCCGCCCCTGTGGGTGGACAAGGATGGGGCTATGTGGCATTTTGGGGTTGTTGATTCCATTCAGCACTTCCCTTCCTTAGCACGAGGAAGTAGACCAGATGCCCGACCCTGGGTATGGAGGCGTCCTCCAAAATGGTGGTCATCGCTGAGCATATCTTAGAAGATGACGAAAATGGCGCCGAAAAGCCAAAGCTGTAAATCATTACCTAGAAGGCTGTTTAGTAAACTGTGCGAGAACTTCTGCAGAAACATGAAATGAAAAAAAGCTGGGCAGAGAGGCGCTTGTGCATGTGTGTGTACATATATATGTGTGTATAGATGCGAACGTACAAACAAACACATAACTAGAGCATTTTCACACCGAGGATATGAACCTCCTCCCTTCCCAGGCATTCTGGGCGGCCCCACGTGTCGCGCTTTAGCGCCCAGGGTGCTGGTGGCGAAGGAGCGGGGACCATGGTCAGGAGAGGCGAGGTCCTGCAATACTCTTCGTTGCAGTTGGGATTAGTGCCCACCTGCTCTCGAAAGACGTAGGGTTTAGGGTTAGTGTTGAGGGTTTAGGAAGGCTACTCTGATGCAAGGTGAGTACAGGATCAGAGCAAAAAGGCAAGAACGTCTTTCCAAGCCTTCAATCCCAATGCAAGTTTCCCCCAGAAGCCAGCGACAGGGATATCACAGTGCAATCACCCACCTCTGAGATGAAGATGTAGCTCCACCCTCCTTGCTGGTGAAGACTGGAGTTCAGTCGTGGGCTTTGGTGCGGTGTCTCTCTTCTAAGATTGCAGGTTTGCCAGCTGTTCAGGTCGCCTGCTCGCGACAAATGATAATGACTCGCTGTAAGGCGGCAACAGAAGCAGAACCAATCTCCAAGGCAACTAGTAATGCTATCATCCTGATAGTTTCAGCTTGATTTTCTCAGGGAGCTGAGGATGCTTGCTTGGCTGAAGGATGGTGGTGGGCCTGTAGGACACACCCAAACTGGCAATTGTGGTGGATGTAGATTGGATGTCAGCTTGAAATCTCCCCAAACTACCCCCCAAAAACACATGGAATATCATAAAGGCCCGTTTCAGTATGACTTATGACGATAGTCTTTTTGCAGCGTGTGTTTGGAGTTCCATCCTAGCCTCTGGCAAATGTACCCTCCCCTTCGGCGGTTCAAGTTTCCAAACAGAAGGGTCATGGACAATACTTACCTTGGACCCTTAGGGTTGATTATGGAGAAATGAATTGAATTAGCCTTTCTTTCGGACACGTTATCCCTGCTAAAAACGTTGCCGAAAGAGGTTTGAACGGTTCCCCCCACATACAAGCATGAGTCGCCTCAAAAGAACTCTACAAAACCCTTACAATTCAGATTGGGCATTTTAAACATAACTCCTGGATGGCCCCTTATCCCCCCTGCCCTTGCAGGCGGGGGAGCCTCCATGTAGCCATCCGTGGGAGAGGCGGCGTCACCTGCAATACCAGAGTGTGGACTTCAGATGGTTTAGGCATTGGGGTTTTATAGAGGTATAGGGGTTTAGGGATTTAGGGCTGCTGTATATAGAGAAAGGCGATACACAGGTCTACAGGAGAATGGACGGCATGGAAAAGAAAATCGAAACTGCTCAATGAATGTTCCCCCTAATATATCATCGAACTATATTGGGGGTATTCATCACTCGGGACACAACTGCGCCTGTGCATGCGTAGGCAGGGGAGGATGCCTACCAGGGATAACCCTCGGAAAGCCGTCAAAATCCCATCTCTGGCGACTTCAACAGTATCCGTGTGAATAATTTGGGAATTTGCACTTTATAGATACTACTTGCCCACGACTTGAGGTCTGACAATACGGCAAGTATTTCAGATTGGCTGAAGGGAAGGGGCGTTCTTTCAAATGCCATGATTAGACTACACATCAGAATTGGGTTAATAACCTGAATAGCAGGATCCAAGACTCTAGACCGTATCGACGGCAAGAGTCTGGAAAATGAGAATGCCAAATGCTGAGCCATCACGGCTTGACCGTTAGGGTATCAAAAGAAAGGTGCTAAGATGCAAACCGCACCATCCCGTCAAACCCCTTCAAAGCGTGTCTACAACACAGCTACCTACCCGTTGCAAGCAGCAAGTTCCTTCTTGGACTCGTCTGTCAGAGAGACCGTCTGCCAGTCACAGCCAGAAAGCTCCAAGTCTCTGGCCCATCTGCGAAACGACGCTTGGAGCGGTTCGTGTCCGCACCTGAGCAGCCACTCCTACAATCAAAATTGAGCGTCTGAAAAAAAAAATGCCAGGCTTTGAGGACAAGGGGGGCTCTTCGGTAAGGGAAAAGGGGATCCTCGTACGTTGTTCTGATCCAGCATTACTTTGATCTTGCGCACCCCCCAAAAAAAAATGTCTGTGGTTAAGGCTCTCTCGGTTTTGACGTGTACCAATGTAAAGAGGATGATCTGCATGCTGCTCCATCCTAAACCGAACACATTAAAGAGGGCCTTGACAGCGTTGGCCTGAAACTCCTCAAGCGGCTGCCAGAGGCCCACTTCATCCACGCGGGTCCAACATTCTGGAGGACAAGTTTTCCACTGCGCCATGGCCAAGGCTGCGGCAAGGTGTTCGCTTTCTTTGGGGACGCAGAACTCGATGAAGGTGTTCTTGATGCGTAGCTCCAGCCCTCAGGCAGCAGACGGCTCGTAATGAGGAGGTTCCCAGCAGTAGTAATTAGCACTTTTGAGCGGCAGTGCGGATGAGGAAAGAAAGCATAAGAACAGGAAAGGAAGAGAACTGTTGTCCTAGCAGTAGGGTGAACAGAAAAGATGCGCAACAATTTCCAACCCACCCCAGTCTGAACGACAAGTCAATGTGTGCAAGTCTGCAATGTGCAACCATTGTGATACATCGTCAGCATTGTTCCTGTTCAGGTGCTTACATCATGGGCCCGCAGCTGCAAGTGATTTGCCATCATTGTTAATATTGTTACAGGCTGCAGCGTTTAGCGAGAAGCGGAACGGCTGTATTCAAAAACCTTCGGTCGCGCTGCACCCCCAAAACAGTTGAATTGCATGCCACAGCTGTAGCTAGCCGCTCGACCACCTAAGTGAGAAACCGTCGCCTGAAGCTGATCATGGAGCCCTACGGAAGGAAGTCCCGAATCCTCACATTGCCCTCCCAGGTTTGACACTGCTCCCGCGTGCAATTACGAAAGCTGAAGCAGCTGGTGTACATGTATGCTCCGGCGCATTCTGAATAGCGTATGCTGCCACTGCTCTACGACACGTGAGGTTTTGAGCCTGAATGTCGGCCTCCCCTCCAAGATAGAAAGCGCCGACCCGGTCTCGATTACTAGCGAGGCACCCCAGGCCAGGTCACCACCAGCAAGAGCCTTAGCTCATCGCCCTTGCTGTCATACACCCCGTGCCGAAGGTGCGTTGGCTCCAATGGTGATCGGCTGCTTTCTGCCCCACACCCGGCCAATGGTGTGTAGGAAAGCTGGTCGACATAATGGCACGCCAGCTTCCCTTTGGGTAAGGCGGAGCTTTGACTTGTGGGTCGCTCTCCAGCTTCAGACATGCTGAGCATTTTGTCTCTCTGCCATCCGCCCTTCCCGGATGACATGCATGAAGCATACTACTTCAGCGGCTACGCCGCCTCTTCCTTGTGATGTTAGCGGCATGACGGCTTGACTGCAATGAACCTGAAGAGTCCTCTGCCGTAGCAGAGAAATGGCTGAACTCTGTCATATGTTCCCTGCCACTGGAGAGTAGAGTAGAGTACAGGTAGCAACGCATTCACGATCAGCGTGTGACTTGCCTACGACATGTGCACACACTGGAAGGGTTCTAGGAGGGCCACCTTTGCGACATGCCAAAAAAGTCCAAAGAAGCGGGCGCAAAAATGGAATGCACAAGCTTCACCAGAAAAAAGCAACAACGTCAGAGTCTCCACTCAATTGGCTCACATCTACAAATGACATTTTGAACGTGTGCGCCAAAATCATGGCCACTTTGCTGAACCTTGATACCATGGGCAGTGTTACGCTAAGAGCTGCAAGTCTGGATGTGCACGCTTCTCCTGCCTTTTCACATCATTCCATGCTCCTACATTCAGCATGGACAAACTTGTCCCGAAACTATGAACTTCTAACCCCTACATGCAAGCCCTCATGCCTCATCCCTGCCCCACAAGAACCTCATCCAGACCCCCATCCCTAAACCCTATCGCACCTGGACCCTCCTCCACTTCCTCGGTGCCCTCCTCCACCGCTTCGCCTCCCAAGATGAATGTTCCTGTTTGAGTACAGTGTGGTCCTCATTCCTTCAAGGGGCGTAAGGCATGTGTGTGTGTGTGTGTGGATATGTGTTTGCGCATTTGCAGATGGAAAATATACCTGCATACATATAGAAAAACATATTCATGTCTGTGTATGTACCATGCTGACAGAGCGAGCGAGATGCATGTAGCGAGCTAAAAGAATACTAAAAGGAAATGCTGTAAGGATTACAGGGTTGCGTAACTCAAAGCTCTGGGGGCCTTCCTTTGGGATTGCATCAGGTTTCTTTCAAGTATCTTGGGTGGACTTTGCGCTTGAAGAATTGCATGGGGCCATGATTTCTGAAGCATATGAGCACACCTGAACTCCAAACCCCACAGCGCAAGGACAACAAGGTTTTGTAACTGTGTTTTGGATGATCTACTCCCCTCCCGTATGTTAGACACTCCCCATAAGATAATATATTGGGGGGGTTAAGGGATCCAGATTTCAGGATGGGGAGGGTACAAATGGTTTGCCTAAGCCAGATTCAGGCCAGAGGCTGACATGGAGCCTCGGAGGTTCAGGGCTTACAGGGGAGCTCATTGCTCCCGCCAGCTGGCCTGCTTCTTCTGGGCTGGTCGGATCCGGCCTGCGGCGTTGAGTCTTAGACATCTTGAAATCTCAAGTTGGGGCTTTAGAGCTCATGTATTTCTGGCTTTGGTGTCCAGACTCACAAAGCCCTGTTGCCAGCTTTGAGAAAGTGATCTACAACAACGGCATGAGCACGGGCTGGTCCAGCCTTTGTTTGGATGTGGCAGCATGGTACGATGCAGGTTGCATAATGTATGGTTTGCCAGTGGGATTTAAAGGTAGAGCGTGTTGTTTTCTAGGTTGCTAGCGCTATGCAGACATCGGCTGGTGAGAGTGTAAGATATCACGCCTCTGTCAGACCCTCATCCAAGCAAATACTAATACGGCGAAGCTGCACACCTATAACCACCTTGCGCCGCGATATGTTCCCACTTTGCACTTCCAAACCAGAGTTCGAAGGTTATGCCTGGAGCCTCCTACCACGATCAAAGCATCAAGGCAGGCAGACTCCAGAATCTTACTCACCTGATACAAGCGCAGGCTTGTCTCCAACTGTGAGCTTCAGGAGGGCATGAGAAGTCTCATAGAGCTTTGTAATCCTCCAAATGTTGAGGCGTCCCCCCCAATCTGTCAACCCTTATCTGGGTTGCTGTTAAGGAACTTGAATGAAATTACTACGCTATTATTTCCTATATACCCATGTTATGATAACTTGATTTAAACTCACTAACAGCAACCCAGTCATTCCCAGAACCCTGCTTGCTACCTCTTCTCCGCACGGTGCATGACATGTTCATTCAATCGCTTTACTCGTGGAGCCTTGGCGCCAAATTAGCTATAGTCTAAACTCCAGTATACCCCTTAAGTAGTAACCCCTATAATACTCCCCTATAAAACCCCTTTAAGGAGTTTAGACTATTGCTGAAACGGTTCTCGCCACGCGGCTCAAGCTTTGGGGAGGTACTATAGCAGGTTGCTGTACCCATGGTAGCCTCAGAGGTTCGAAATAAGCGCTTCTCAGACGAACGGCCATATGGGGGGGGAGTATATATGGGTATAAAGCAATATCTAGGGATATATAGTGGTTATATGTAAGTCATACAGGGACATATAGGAATCACTCAAAGTAATGTTTGGCAGTACGAGAAGAAACCACAGGCAGAGTCGAGCAACTTGACTTGACCAATCCCTTAAAGCTAAAACCTTTGTGGTATATAATAGCAGGTTATAGTATATTGTTCTATATTATAGTATATTATCGTATGTTGTAGTAGATTAAAGTGTATTCTAGTAGATTATATGTTATAAGATTCTATAGTATTTTACAATATATTGTAATATATATATATATATTATAGCCTCCAATTCAAGATCCAAAATTCTTGCAACCCAAAGCCCTAAACTGGCTTTGGGGCAGCTGGGAATGAAGGAATGGAAAAGAAAATGGAAACTACTATAATGGGTAATATAGGGGCTACAATAAGGGTCCATTCCTTCATACGCCAGTAAACCCTATACAGCTAAAGCTTGAGCCCTATAGTAAATCCTCATCCCCTGTAAGCCTAAACCCCAAACCTCTAAAAGTGTTGGATTATGGGGATTATATAGGGGTTATATAGGGATTATATAGGGATTATATAGGGATTATATGGCCCTTATATAAGGTTATAGTGATTACAAGGCCCTTATAAAGGGATTATACGGATTGGATTATACCCTAAGACCTCAGCCCCTAAGAGCCCAACAGCTTCTGGAGGCCTGCGGTGCTCCTCATCCACGGTGTGGGCGATAGCTTCCAAGGCTCGCGTGCGGTCCTGCACAGGTTTAGGGCTTAGGGCTTAGCTTGTTCAAAAAGTGTGTACGGTTTGGTGTTTAATTGTGTTTTAAGGGTTTAGGGTTTAGGGCTTAGGGTTTTTGAAGTGTTTAGGGTTTAGTGTTTTGTTTGTTTTTAAGGGTTTAAGGTTTAGGGTTTAGCCCCCTGAGGATGAAGCCCTGTAGGATACAGAAGGCTCTATATCTACGAGTAGTAAGAATTCAAAATCCTACACCCTGCAACTAGAACAAAAACACAAACCCCTCTACCCTGAACCCAAACCCTCATCCCCTAAAACCTATACCCTGAACCCCACACCCTAACCCCTAAGACCCTAACACCCCCCTCCCTAAGCCTTCCCTGCCCCAAGCAACGAGAAAAAAAAAAAAACTCCCAACCCTAAACCCTAACCCCTAAACCCCTAAACCCCCGGCCTGCTCGGAGGTGAGAGCTGCCCTCAAAGCCTCCTCCACGGCTGCCAGCTTCTCCTGGAAGTAGGGAACCCATTGGGGCTATATTACGGTAATGTTGGGGTTATATTGGGACTTGCGCCCGCGGGGGGGGACAACAGCTTGCATACTAGCACGTGCATTTTTTCATGAAGCGGCGGAGCGCAAATGGCCTCCGCGTGCCCAAAAACGGCTTCCAACGTGCCCAAAAACCTGCCATCTCGCGTCCCAAACGGCCTCCACGGCACCCGAAACGGCACCCTGAAACCGCATCGAGACAGACCCCTTGCCATGCCTATTTTCGAGGCCCACCAGGACACCCCCCGCAAACCCTCCTGCCGTGGGGTCTGGCACGCGAAACACGGCCAAATTTGACCACTTTTGGCCTTTCCTAACCCCCACACCCCCTTAGTACAGATCAGCAAAGCTGGACTCAGACGAAAGCTTGTGGAAGCTTTCGTAATACTGCAAAAATTGGGATTACAGGGTGTATGTTGGGGTTATGTTGGGATAATGGAAAATTAAAACTACTATTTAGGATTCAGGCTTTAGGGCTTAGGGCTAGGGTTTAGGACTTAGTGTTTAGGGCTTAGTGTTTGGGGTGTAGGGTTAGAGCTTGCGTTTGAGGGATTCGGGTTCAGGGCTTAGAGTTTACAATGAGGTTTGGGGCTTATAGTCTAAAAGTCTATGATGGAGGAAATGCCTGTCTTTTATGCTTCTCTGAGTGTTTTGGGGCAAGCTGGGAGCTCAGGGGATAGGAGGCTTGTAGGCGTGAAGAGCATTGAGAGGTTGGGCTAGGTTTGGGGATTTAAGGCACTCAGTCAAGTTTACAATCTCTTAACATGGAGCTTGTGGGCATGATGGTGGATGCTGATTAAACAGTGTAGATTTCAATAATTTCAATTCCCAATTTAAGGCCATCTTTGTACTATTCCCTATATATACCACCATTTAGGGTGAGGTCGGATGAGGTCGCTTTAAATTGCCCAGATTAAAGTGCCCTCCCTACAAAACGATTATCTCCGTAATCGAAAACGCCCAACACAAAATCTACACCGGAAAGCGGATCCTTTGGCCCCTATTTTAATTACCAAAGGAAAGAGAAGGGTGGGGAGTAGTTTAGTTTAGCTTCATAAAAAAGAGGTAGCAATAGATCCTGGCCTTCATAGTTCAAGGCCTAGCCTTTAAAACCAATAGCCTTGTGGCCTTTCTGGCAACGTCATTGACTCTAAAAAAAGCTTAACGGCCATGATATAACCGATCCCCCAAAACCGTTAAACCCTACACCCTAAATCCTAAATAGTAGTTTCCACTTGCTTTTCCATTATCCCAATATAAAACCCAATATAACCCTAATATTACCCCAATGGGTTCAATTGAGGCCTGTAGACCAATAGCTTTCAACCTGCCCCCATCAAAAAACCTGCCTCGAAGATTCGATGAACAAAACAGCTTCTTCAATTAATCGCTCCCTAGACTGAAAATGGGGTACTGAAATGCTGCTGAAAAAAAGAAAACTTCGCTAAATTGGGGACTGCCACCATTTTCTGGATTGAGAAGAGCCTAAGCCAAGCCTTTAGTACTAATTACGAATCAAATCAGCATCCCTGGTCTGGAAACCCTGAGCCGGGGCACCTCCGCCACGCGCAGGTCATCTTGCCTGGCAGTTCAACGCAAATAGCTGCAGTCATCTGCTTGATCGGCTTGATTGCTCACAGCTGGTCATCTTCGCGAGCAAGTAAGCATGTTCGGATGAAAAGGAAAGGGAGAACGAGGTACAGTAGTATAGACGCCCCAAACGGTAGACGGCTTCTCTCGACTAATGTGCTGTGATGAGGATGTTGAGTTCAGGGATGAAAGTTCGGAGCTGAGGAGTCGGGTGTGAAGATGCCTTGATTGCAGACACGGCTTGGAACGCCATAATGGTTCACCGCTTGCCAAGGCTACCTACCTTCAGCGCACACTTTTCTCGTGGTCCTTGAGCAAGCGCACCAAGGCACAACTCTGCATGGGGATGGCACAGCACAAGGCCAGCATCAGCCGTGCAAAGTGGTGCCACCAAACAAAGTACGCTTTTTTTTCGCAGGCACGAGAGAATCTCCGCATCATGAGCAGCAGCCGGATAACGTTTTTGAGGGTACTGGGCAAGGTCGGCATCATGAGCGTCAGCCGGGCAAAGTTTTCGAGGACCCCCCCAAGTTAGGTCTAGCATAATGAGGTGTCATGGGCCTCAGCCGGGCAACGTTTGCCTACGGCCGCCGGCATCATGAGCACCAGCCACGCAACATATTTCTGAGATTTTTGAGGGCACCAACAGGCCGGCATAATGAGCATTGGCAGGGAAACGTTTAGGGCATCAAACCAGGCAAACATAATCAGAATCAGCCATGTTTTGTGAGGGCAGCAAACAGGGCCAGCATCAGGGGCATTAGCTGGGCAACGTTTACCTGCGGCCCACCACTAAGGCCAGCATCATGAGCGTCACCCAGCCCCGGAAGAAGCCCAAATAATGAGCATCAACTTGCAAGGCCAGCATCGTGGGCTTGTTGCTGGGGATGATATACTACGTACGAACGTATATAAACTACTGTAGCAATCCCTTCCCTCGTTCTCCATCAAGCACCTGGTACGCACTTTCCACAATGACAAGGATAGAGTTTAGTGCTAACTGTACTAATTACAGGGGACCACGACCGACATGCCTCGAACAGTGTTTCTCTCAATGATGAGCCCCCTGATAGCTGGGTCCCTGCAGTCAGAAACAGCCATATCATCTCCTAGCCTGCGCACTTCAAGAGCATAGGAGTCATAGTCTAAACTCCTAGTATCCCGCTTAGTAACCACCATCATACTCTCCAATATGATCCTTTATATAATCCCCTTAAGGAGTTTACATTTATGCTCATATGACATGTCAGGCTCAAATCTACCTTCACAGCTGAACCCCTCGCTTGGCTAGCAGAGCTCTCAGTTAGCTATAAAAACCACCATGTCCAATTTCGAGGTCCTCAAAGCAGCTAGGACCCTGGAAATCTGAACCCTTGAAGAACCCCGCCCCAATCAGTTTCAGCTCAGTAGATACTTGCCAGGTGATTTTCTGAACCTACTTCCAAAAAAGGAGCTTGTGGTCTGGGCCTCTGCCGCTCTTCTGCCAGCTTCTCCTCAACGCTGCGCCGCGCATCCTCTGGGCTATGTGGGTGGAGATTTACTTGCCGCAATCATATAAATAAATACTAGTACTACTATAAATAAGTAACGTGTTGTGTTACTAGAGTTAGGGGATGGAATTCTGACGCCTCCAGCTGAGACAATGATTTCTGAGTTGAAGGCGTCTCAGGTTAAGCATGTAGCAGGTTACGGGCCTTTTCTGGACAAGGAGCTTAGCAAAACTCAAGCTGTTGGCTCCGAAAATCATATAGGAATTGAGAGTCTGAGGTTGGGCTTGTTGGCTTGCCTACCTTCGATGCTAGTCAGTCAGCATAGAGGCTTCTACGATATCCGGAACTTGGAACTTGGAACCCAGAAGGCGATTGGAAAATTTCGAGGCAACTTCAAGATTGAAACCCAAGCTGACAGTCCCCGCAGCGTTACTGTTACCAGTTACTACGCGTGTTCATATGGATGCCCGACCATCCTTGCTTTCTTTCCTCCTGCTGCTGCTGCCAAAGCTACGAATAAGAACAAGCGTGCTGTACACCGGTCTTGCCATCATCTTGCCACACCTTCCAAACACCTGAGGCCCTGTCCATGAGCTTCTGCCGCTCACGATGCTTGTGCCTGGGGCCACATCTGAGTGCAAGGCTTTGGGCAAGCAAGTGCTTGGGTCTAAAGATGTCAAGAACCCAGAATCACATTGAAAAGAAAATGGAAAGCAAAATGGAAGCTAGGTTTGGTACCTACGTGCTCGGTATCAAAATTGGAAGCCAAAGCCCAAGTGCCCATTCAGAGGGTAAAGTTCTCCTAGCAGCTCCCCTTCCAAAGAGATCCCTTCATCAAAAACGGCCCCGAAACTGCGTGCAACACCATTGGCGTGGTCAATACCAACATGCTAGTGCTACGATGGTAAGTATTTCTCTGCCCTCCCGACCTTGCAATGCCTAAAATGTCCGTCACTTCTCCCAAGGACTTAGGCCACGGTGCAACTCCGCTTCCAGCTCCCTCACATTGGCCTGCGCAGCTGAATAAATTCATGGGATCACGACTTACAAGCTTAGGCCTAAAATGTGGCTTGCCCATTATTCGAGGCACGTGCTCTAAGACTCCACCACGAGCTTCAAACATGGAGCAGTTGCCGCCTCGCGCCACCGCAGTGCACGCTCCATATCTTCAGTTTGGTCCTGAATTAGAGTTGTCGTCCGGGCTTCCAGGCTTGGGTTTAGGCTGCGTGGGGAATATGAGAAGGTAAGGGTCAGGCCGCAGGCAACAGCAATGCTTGCTTGCCTGGAACCTCCGAAGGCCTTCAAATCTGACCGCAATAGAACCCTAAACAATGCGCGTCAACAAGTATCTCAGAGCTCGCTTGGGGATTGCAGCAAGGACTGGCAGCGGGGAGCCATGAAACCCTTCGATCATTCCTGGGCGCCGGGCGCGAGCCTTGGCCAACTCCTGTGGGCAGGTCAGGGGCTGGGAGATGTTGAGGACCACAGCCATTAAGCTGGTACTGTAAGTACCACCACAAACATTGCAAATATCACCAGTGCAGCTGTTGACGATCATGGCTTACATGACACATGTTACTAGCAATGCTGTTCTTACATGGACAATTTAACCGTTCAAGTACTGTAGGTCCGTGTTGGTGACTTGGGCTTGGGGTGACAGGCTTGGTGCTGGCTTTAGCTGGATACCTACTCAACGAGGCGGCGGAAGCAAGAGACGATCTGTGTTTAAGTCTGGGCTCTCAGCCTAATCGATTTTGAATCGAAGCCCACACTGCATACTCCGAGGTAGACACGGGCTTACGACCTTGCTCAAGCTCAAAATGGATATAGCAAAAGCCATGCTCGTGAGCCTCCTGTATTCTGTCTGCTGGATGTGAACGAAGCTGTTAAAAGACGAAAGTGCAATCGTCTACCTTCTCTATAAACATTGGCAGAATTAGCTACCAAACTGGAATCCTTGGGCCCCAAAAGATTCCACAACGTACTTGGGGCGCTCTGGACGGAGAAGCAGCTGTTGTAGTCAACTTTGCTCCACGTTGTTGCGGGCATGTCAAAGACTAGCATCCCCAAGTCTGTGCTACAAACTCTCGGCGAAGAATGTGCTTGCCAGACTTCTGAAGCCTCCGCAATTCTTTGCCCTGCTTTCAAGTGGTACGCTTTGCTAAGCTACCCTGAAGGCCAAATCGTGAAGACCCAGGACTTCAGTCCTGTCCTCACCGTGAATCTTCAACAACAGTAAGATCCGCAGAACAATCCTCGTATCATTCCCATATTTACCCCTACAGTAGTCCCTGTTTCACTGCCCCACTCCCCCCTGAAGCACCAGTAAGTCAACCGCAGTTTTTCGCTTTTCCTGGTGCTTGTCGCGCGCCACTGGCTGCGCGGGTTTCGCTGCCTGCTCCGCGGCAGGGCTTGGGGAAATATTACGAGGATCCCTAGGGTATTAGGGAAAGTTGTAGGATAAACGAGACACTGGACAAGAAATGGACTAACTATATTATATCAGGGGCATATACTGGGACATTATAGGGCCCAATAATGGAGCCTCAACTCCGAAAGAAAAATGGAAAAGGAAATGGAAACTAGAGACTTCCTTGCAAAGTTCCACACTCAGGACTTGGTGACTTGGTAGTGTCCCAAATTACGCGGACCCCAATACAGATCCCAAAATATTATACTCCTTATTATAGGGACTGCAACAAGGTACCCCTAATTTTCAGAAACCCCAACTTAGGCACGCTGCGCCATTTTCCTTACCTTTGGTTAGCTAGGAATGAAGGAATGGATCCCTATATATTCCCTATATAACCCACTATACAGGTTCCGTTTTCTTTTTCAGAGCCGTGCCTCCGAGAGACACAAGGTTTAGGGTTCAGGGAAGGAAAGACTTACTGCAAGCTGGACTGCTTGGCGGAACACTCTCGTCCCCAATCGAAAATAGCGGAAAACATCCTACCATCCCTGCAATGTTCCTATTGAATCCATGCAGCCATGAAGGAGTATTGACCATACACCACCGCCAGGCATGGAACCCGAGAAAACCACGACCTTGTGGGGTGCCATGTTACTTTGCCATGCAGTGTTCACCTCAACCTTGAGCTGACCATGCGACGCTGCGTCAAGCTTGACGTTCTCGGGATCCTGCTGCGGAGAAGGCTTGACTCAACAGCAACCACACGTGGGATAGGGTTTGGGGCTCAGGGACTTCTGCGATTCAGGATATGCCAGGTATGCGTGCATGTCCGTATAGATATGTATGTGTGTGTGCAAATGTGTGTATATGTATATGTATGTATACATTGCGTACGCGATCGAGATGTAAGGTACAGTAGTCATCTGGAAAGAAACAGTCTGAAAAACGTGTTCCCAAAACGGGGAAGATGCGGAACAAGAAGAACCTTGGCTTGCCTATCTGTCCATGCTACTACTCTTGCCTTTGCTACTTGATTTCCGAGAAAAAAAAAACTTGGATTGTGAGGCATTAGGCTGACAGGTGGTTGGC